GGATGACTCATATTTACACCTGAGTCTATCCACGTGAAAAGGTCGATGTTCAAGAGACCCAAGGCAGCTGCCCTTATTAAACAGATCTGCCCACAAGACAAACTATAGGAAACAGGTCAATCAAAACATGACATCTTCATATACACAACTGCAGCTAGTTTAACAACTGTCGTAGCTTAATGGAAGAAATAATGAATGTTTTCCGAAGAATCGAAATATTTACGTTACTTTGATTTGTGGCAAAATATCCATTATCTCTTGTCATTATGCTTAATGTAATATTTGCATTTCACCTGCTCTCAAGCAAACATCTTCTGTTATTTTTTATTTTTACCCTAAAATTTTATGTATAAGTAATGTTTCGTAACAGAATATTTGGTAAGGCTAAGCCGACTTTGATATTTTAAATGGTTTGATATACATAGATTGTTGTTAATACGATTTTATATTTCGTAGGAAAGATCAATTCATGAGTGATTTGGAAAATGAGGAGGTCAATCGCTAGCTTTGTACCGTTGCCGTAAATGAATTGTCTGACTCTTGGTCCACGCTGGAAATATTCACTAGCCGGCCGATCCATATCTAGGGAACTTAACCGGTAATTATACCAGTCTTATACTCGGTTGCCCCGACTTTGCCTTGTACGACTAGCGCGGTTGGATGGGGGTAATAGGTGGTCTTGGGGAAATAGATCAGGTAGAGTAGAAATCCCTTGAGAAAGAATACATACATTATCAAACACCCGACTCGCAATTTTTTTAAATAACATCCGATTCGCAAAATTTTTGAATACAAGGGATACACATAAGCGTTTATAAATGTATATAAAACGAGAATATGACTAAAACTCCAAATAGCGACGTTAGAACTACTTTAAAACTTATAAAACGCGAATATATATGTGATAAAATATCAAAGCATAACCTTAGAAATAAACTTTTACTCCTGTAACTTTATTCACAGCTGTAGATGTCGAAGCACCTTCGTTAACATTCGCAGTAGTTCTTGTCCTCCTCGTTCGCGTTGTAATACTTCGATTCGTTTACCATGGCCAGCCTGGGGCACGTCACGCTGATGTGCTTGCAGCGGGATAATGTTACATTATTATTCAGCTCACTCCATGGATATCTTACATACACTAGATAGCGCATCTCTTTTAGTAAAATTGAAGCCAAGAATATTCCAGTGCTTACCCACATTTGAATAGGTGGCGGCCATGTTGTTCGTACCCACTTGCTAATAAACGCTTAAAAGCAACAATAACTTTCATCATTTGAATATTTTAAAAACGAATTTGGAATAGGGTTACTTAATGTTTAAGTTCCCTGTTTAAGAAATAGAAAACGTACGAATCTTCTAATTTTATGGCAACGACCTGAGACTGCAATCACGGCTTCAATTTTTGAATTGCAGAATAATTAGATGCACTATCTAGTGTATATACGATATCTATGGCTCACTCCCTATTACGGCTTTTCAGTGACCGATTACATCAAGTATATTACGTATACTTATGTCACTTAATACGATAGCCTAGACTGTATATCTTTACGACAATTGTGACTACTTGCTTAACTGTGTTTACCCTAACTCACCCTGCCAACTTTCCCTGTTGGAGGAAACCGGAGCGCCCGGAGCAAACCGACGACTTTCGGCAGAGCGGCAGCTCTTTTCACATGAGTCCGTAGCGAGAATTCCTAGCATGTGTATTCGCGTTCAGCTCCCCGTCGCTCGTGTATCTTCATGTTTCTTGTAAGATTGCCCTTGAAAAATAAAACACTGTAGTTAGAAACTATATTGTGCTTAACAACGTTATAGTTAAAAAAACATACCACAATAAAATACACACTTTTCGCCCAAATTTCTTGTGGCATTAGGGCATACGAAAGATTTCTCCTGGTGGGCTTTCTGATGTTGCTTCAATTTATCTTTCGTAGCAAAGGATTTGCCACATTAATTCTTGGCAAGAGGAAAACTTTTCTCCAGAATGATAAGGTTGGATGTGACGCTTTGTAAGTTATCTGGACAAGGAACCAAGAATGTGTACAAAGAACGAACACGTGTTTTGTCATGCCCTGTATCACTCAATATCTGAGTGTAAAGCCAGTACCGCACTGGAACGTATCACAAACATTTTTAAATTTCAAAATTTAGTGATTGTTGATTAGTTAATACTTCCGTAGTAAGCAAAAAGTCAAAAAGCGAGCCAACCACGGGCCCCAGGACAAATTGGTGAACACGCTCCCCTCTTGACTATCACGCTGATGGCCACTCCAAAGTCTATTATTTAATACACCTTTTCGATAATTACGTCACAACTGCACTGTTTTCACCTTAAATGGAAAGGATTTCAAGTTGTTTTTTCATGCGATATGCACAGAGAAGCAGCACATGCTTCTTTAACACATGCATGAAAAAGACATGGCAACGGTTCGCTGGCGACATCAGGTACTTGTGCTTGGTGGCCGTGATAAGAATGGTCAAGTTCTTAATGATGTTTTCATGCATGACTGCAAGACGGGCAAGAAAATCACAGTATTATACCATCCATGTTGGAGAAGAGATATGAATGCTATTCAGTTATCACTGGAAATACAATTGTAGTCATGGGAAGTATCAATGAAGAAGATGAATATCTCAATTCAGTGGAGTGTTTTACAATGGGAGGTTCTACATGGGAATATCTTCCTGCCATGAATAAAGCCAGGTACAGAACAGTTGCTGAAGTTTTACCTTCCACAAGAAAATATGTGCAAGTTTGACATTTAGAGATTATGATAAGACGTTTATTAAGCTTAGTTGACACTAGCGATTTTTTCCTCCTGGTAAATTTGATCGAAAGAATGACTTGCAAAAAACGTAGAATTGTTTACTTCTGAAAAGCAACTCTATACTTTTGCGTGCATGTTCACTCATTTGGATCTGTCAGAAACAAAAAATCACCAATAAAATTGCTATTGTGAACCAGGCGTTAATCGTCAGTAATTATGCATATAGTCATTTTATTCAGATTGGGTATCTCCAGTTTTCCAATTTCTGCAAGGAAGAAATTACAGCAAGTTGCAAAATGGGAAAGTTTATTCCAAAGAATTTTCATCAAAATTTTTATGCATGTATGATGTCTTATTTTTTGACGTACTTGTAAGTAATTTCAATTTTTAAAACAACAATGAAATAAAGTTTGTTGCAAGTTGTTACCAGTTAATAGTTTTGTATTTTAGCAATTTGTTAATTTATTTTACAAAGCTAACTCGCTCAGTGCATTCGCTTGTTCGCTATTTGAAAACAAATTAATTATAACGCGTGCAAAAATACCATATGTCAGCACTTCCCATAAAAAAGTCTCTATTTTCTGTAAGATTTTTACATGTGCAGCAAGAACATTTACAATATTTGGTAAAATAGTATATTAGCAAAAACAATTGTTTTTAGAGTTCGGTAGAGTTCAATAAATACCTTTTCTCTTCTGATTATATTGGTTTTTGCTTGTAAGTTTCGAATGTTGCCTTCTGACTCATGAAAATCTGAGTAGCTCTTTTCATACTAACCATTGTTGCTATCCAAACATATGACTTGCTTGGATGATAATTGACAATAGTTGGAACCAATCAGCAACAAGCACGGTAGATTCGTAACTATCTTTGTTAACGCTCAAAACAAGACGTTGTCGTATCTTTGCTTGAAAAGTCAAAGTACTTGTTAATATTTTTCAGGCAGGTTTATCCTGAAATTTTTGTGCCCGGTTGTACGAAAACGTAGCTAAAGTTAACTGCAGTTAGTGTTAACCACCGTAGTTCAGTTTTTATAACTGCGGTTTGTTACTACATGACTTAATTAACTGAGTTGCACAAAACATAGTTAGTCAGATCGTTAACCACTAATTAAACTGCGCATGGGAGTTTTTAAACACAAAATTATATAAAGTAATGTGTGATTAACGACCGCTGACAAGTATTTTTAAGATGGTTGTGGACTCCGGCGAATAGGTGGGAAATTGATTCAAAATAATATCAAAATAATGAAAAATAAACAAGAAAACAAGGCAAAACCGCCAGAAAAATGGCATTTTTCCGTGAGATGAGTCTACGTTACCAAAGTGTAGCTGCTTGGGAATTATATACCATGTTTCTTCGTTTAATGGGTCCCACTTGGTTTTCGAAAAAAAAATAATGCTTCTATACCATAATACTTTCTGTTTTTGCCAAGAAAACCAAAGCGATAGCTTTTGAAGTGTGTATAACTTTCAGGAAAGATTCAAAGAAAAAGTGGCGATTATGATTTCTGCTCCTATGCAAGCGCCATTTTTAACTACGTCTTGAGAAGTTAATGGTACCATAGAGCATATAGTTAATTTTAGCTACTTTTTAAATGCAGTTAAAAATGAAATTACGAGCTATCACCTCATAGAAATCGAGTGGGAGTAATCTAATTTTTTAGCAAACTCAGAGATCAAACATTACTGCGCCAGAAAAAATTATTGTTTTGCTACTCGCTATCTATCGAGGAACAGATCATGCGAGTAGAGTGAGCAATCATCAAATTACAGCATTTTGCACTAGTATACTAGTATGATTCTACTAATAAGTTATATTTATCCCTAACCATGCATATGACGAATACACAATCCCAATGCAAGTAAAAACCGACGGCCAATGAAATTGTGTATTTTATCACATGAAAATGCTTTTTCAGCGGGTTCCAGGCATCCAGAATAGTTCTATCAAAATCTTTAAAACATTGAACAAATTTTTTCTGTGTTGGTGTTGTGTACTCAGGTGAATATGATGTTTGTGATGTTACTCTGAGTGCATATCCACACCAGGCGAGCTTGAAATGAAACATCATATTCACCTTAAAACCAGTTTGCTTTTTACACCCCTCCTCAGGCTTACCATGTGGGAATCACATGTTTTCCATATCGGGCCATTTTTCGCCACTCAAAAATGGTGAAAAAACTAAAGCGCGTGAAAACACACAAAACATTTAAATGAAAAACTCGTAAAGTTATTTGCCAAAAATTTGAAACGTGGCTACTTCAATGAATCACCATGAATTTAGAATTTCTTCTGGAACCATCACAGATCGTACTATGACCAAACCCTCAAAAGCGGATTTTCCCAAAACTTCCTGAGACCTCAACACCCCCACCCCTCCCCGACAAAATCACATGCCCCAGCACTACCCCCGAATAAGCCTATTCCCATGTCCAACCCATATAACCTTTATCACTACCTGATACCCTACAGACAATACTTCAACATTTCAAGAGAACCCCTACCCAAGATGCCGAACAAGAATGTCAAACCAAGAAAATAAAAAAATATATATAAATTTATTGAACTAATGAAACGCCTTGATAGGTATGTTAAGTAAATATTATAACTATTTAAAAACTTAATAACTGTATTAAATGTTAAGTTTCCTTTACTATTTTACATATATATCGTTATGTTTCAGATGTAGTATACGTCACTCTCTGCCAATTTCATGCTACTGTGAATACATAAATGTCCACGACAATGATGGTAATGATGGTGATGAGTAATCACTAGTATATATTGTCTTATTTACAAGCTTGCCTGGACGATCCAAATTACAATGCAAGATTAATAAAGTGATATGTTACGTTACAGAAAGCTACATTAGCAATGCCAGAGTGCCCGCAACAACCATTAGTCAATTACTGCCGGCCAAGAAAAAGACTATCTTAGGCCTATTTCAAACACGTCACGCTTCTCATGAAATGCCTCATTATCTATTGTTGCTAATGCGTTCGGCACATGAGAAGCGCAACGTTTGTGAGCGACATTACGTAATTACCTCAGGCAGATAGAGGACCAAAATTATGGAAAACTTACCATATCGTGGAACAATTCCATTTTGCCTTCATATTGTGCCCTCAAGGCTAATAAGTACGTTTCTGTATGTTGGCCGCGTTAAAATTTCTTGTGGGCTCCTGCCGGCACATTTTTCTTCGCATTTTGTATTAAACTCTATTACAGTTAAAAAATGTGAAATTTCCGATATATTTCTAATACAAACGACCCGCATCAATAGAAAGGTAAAAAAAAACTACATTTAAGAAATTTAAATGGTTAGCTGGGATTTCCACGCGGTTTTCGAGTTATTGCCGTTTCAAATGTGAAAAAAAGCCAAAATCTCGCAAAATTCCTGGGTACTAGTCTGAAAACACGCATTCAACAGCTCATAACTCAAGAAGAACTTGAAAAACCCGGGTAACCATTGAAATGTCTTATATGTAGTTTTTTGCAAGCTTTCAAATGATGTAAGTCATTTGTGTTAGAAATGTATTTGAAATTTCACATTTTTTAACTGCAATAGAGTTTTATACAACATTCGAAGAAACACGTGTCGGCAGGAGCCCACAAGAAATTTCAACGCGGCCAGCATACAGAAACATACAAACTAGCCTTCAGGGCACAATATGAAGGCAAAATGGAATTGTCCCACGATAAGTTTTTTCCTCCTATCTGCCCGACTAAATAAAATATTGATTTGCAACCGATAACAAGAAATAATAGCAAACTATAATATAAAAACACTAAAATGGAGAAGAAAACCGTTCCGAGGCCTCTTAAAGATTTCAAATTCGTACTAAAGGTGTTTTCCTTCCGCGGTTGGGCATCGCGAACAATTTTTCAGACGATGCTTCGATTAACCGCTGCGTTTTCTTCTATCTACGCGTAGCGCTAGATACTATGGTATCGAGTTGTGTGTGCGTTAAACACTCAGGTCGTCTAATTATGAATGTACGCCTGCGAACAGACAGTAAAATAAATTTGGCGACATTTTCGCACATAGATGTACGCCAAACGTACCTATTTTTATAAATAATTGCGTCGTTTATTCGAGGGCGGCGCTCTGTTGATAATTATGCTCTCGCTCGCGGCGCTTAAACGAGTAAATACGGTGATGCGCATTTCAGTGTCGGCGGAACAGTTTTATTCTTGGGTGGGAAGCGGCTAGGTGGTGTGTGTGTGGGGGGGGGGGGGGGTAATAATATATCTTCGTCTTGACACATTTAATAGTTGGTTTCTCTTATTTTCCCAATTTTGAAATAGAATTTTCAAAAATTTTACTCTGACCGATCCGCCGCTACTAGCACATTTATGCAGTTAAAGAGCTCAGGAAATAACGTTTTTTCCACCTTAGCACGATGACTTGAAAAAGTACACCTATGAACGTCCCACTGCTTTAATCAAAATAGTTTGGGAACCATTTCTTGGCTTCACTGGGTTTCTTACGGCGAATGTCATCGATAATTGTTGGCATACTAACGGCAAAAGAACCAAAAATTTTTTTCTCCTTGCCACGATTGATAAACACAGTCTTACTACTGCACATGCCGGTAACTTCACCATCAAGATCTTTGAATATAGGTAGTCCGCGCGTAGTATATACGTGGGAGATAGCAATTATAATTTGTTTGAGATCTTTTGCGTCGTCAAAATTGATGCTGGGCTCGCAACTTGGTGTGGGAATATTGCTGGAATTGCTGCTCCCGCTGCTCTTCAGCCAATCTACAAGATCTTCAGGATATGGTTGCACGGAAATGTGCATATCATACGCAGGATTAGCATGTGGTACAAGCACTATTTGGCCCGGTTCAAAAGACGCCTTCGAAACTTGAGAAGGCAACTCCTGAACAATACGTGAGGTCTTCAATTTCAGCACAACATAATCTAAAGCATTGCCTTCGTTAGAACGAACTACAACAAAGTCATCATTTGTTACAGTTGCATCGTAATAAGCTGGTTTGTCTCTACCACGGGTAACCCGTATTTCCAGAGCATTGTCAACTTGATCGGATCTAATAAGACGGACAACACTATTACTGGTCATTACATAAACGTTTTCATTATCTTTGAAAACAAGCCATCCAAAGCCGAATAATTTCTTGCCTCTCTTCAAATGTATTGCCGGCAACAAATGATCACGATATTCAAAATCTGTAAGGTAAAAGTTTAAAAACACTTAGTGCAACAATAAACATTGTCTGAGATCAACAAGTTGATTAGTGTACCTACAAGCTATCGGGGCAATAAACCTTCTGGCTTCTGCCTATTCTCACTAGGAAAATGTGTCCGCGCAAAGCGACTAAAACCTTTGTCGACATCACCTATCACATGAGCAAAAGTGATGTCCCCAAAGGAAAGGTCACTTCCCGGGAACAATTTTTCCTAGGAAAACGGGCATTAGAAAAGTAGTATAGTAGGGGCCGATCGATCCGGATTTTTGAGGTGGTGGATGAGGTGGTGTGAGGTGGTGGAGTGTGAGGTGGTGGAGTTTTGAGGTGGTGGGTGTCCACCACCTCATTTATAATTAATACTCGTCCAATTGAGGAGGAGTAATGACGTCACTCATTAACATACGTCATAATTATATGCAATGACGTCACGCGGGCGAGCTTAAACACGATCGGGCGAAACTTGCTGACTACGCATTTTTTAGCGTCGCCCACGTTTATGATACAATGAGGGATTAATGTTGGCTTACTATGAACTTTTATACAAGTATCTGTATAAAATCGACAAGTGTCTTGTAGCAGGCATAGTTCTGTATTTGTTCCACATCAGTCATGGCGTGTCTACACGGTAAAACCACATCTTACAATTTATTGGAAGGAATTTTTGCGAATGCAGTCGCACAAGAAGTTGAAAGACTTTGTGTGGAATCCTGTAATGGTTGTCAAGTCAGTCATCCTAGTCAAAGACAACATGACTGCCTCATGATGAACGAAAACGAACGATGGCAAATGTATGGTTTACAAGCGATCGAACGAGTGAATGGTAAGCGTATGGTTTGGAATGAATTCGCTGAGGCAATGAGGGTACTAAAACTGGCGGTTGATAGAGATGTACTCGAACATTTACAGCAACTGGAAAAAGATCCAGATTCTACGTTTGTCGATTCATTGATGGAACTACATCAGAACACTGAGAACCACGAACTACAATGTATACTGAACTATTTGTTTCATTGGAGATTAGAAGACCCACTCGAGTCCGTAGCTGAAGCGTTTTTCTCTTACCCACCGAGTTACATGTATTATGTGAAGGCGACGGGTGAACGATTTAGAAGTTTTGAGGCAGATCATAAGAAAGCTTATCAAGAACTCATGGAGAAAAAACTTATAGAACAGTTTAACAAATAGTTTTAGTTGTAATATTTTTTGACACTATCGTCTGTTATTTGTATCAATAAACATGTTTTATACTTTGCAAATGTTGCGTTGTTATGCGTTGCTAAGTCATTAGGAGGCGTGTAGGTAATTAAGGGGATTAAGGCAATATGAATTTGCATAACTAAGTGTATCCCGATGGATAGATAGGGATTATTTTTTTAACGCAGGTGTATACCTTAAAATCAGGCGCGTGGCTCTGCGGGTACATGCATATATTGAAGTACAACATATTTGTACACGGATCATTTCGCGCGGGCGGAAAGAGCGGGCTTTGCCGGCAAAAAATTACACAATATTTCAGTTTTTAAATGCATTTATTTCTTCAAAACGTTTTACAAAATTTAGTACGGTCTACTTCTGAGAGCGTAACGTCTAGGTGTTTTTGTTATTTTTAAAGAGTTCTCATATTCTTGTCTATCTTCTGGGGATAACTTTGCAAGTTTTTCGGCTTCATTGGAATATATTTCGGTCTATCGCTCAATATGAAACGTTCATAAGCCTCTCTTGCTTCCGGAGTCATTCGCGCTAGGTCACGTTCGGTCCAATCTGCTGGGTCGACCCAATTGTGAAAAAAATTGCGCTTGAGTTTTGGCCGTTCCTCTCCTGTTGGTGGTGGTGTAAGGAAATTAGGTTTAGGCGTAGCAGGCACTGGTGGTACCATCCCGGCAAATTCATTGGGTTGTGGTATTTCTGCAGGCACTAGTGGAGTTGTCTGAACAGGAGCTTGAGCTGGGACATCCATCTTATTTTTGAATGTGAGAAACCGATTTAGTTGATCAGAGTATAATTTGCTTTTTTCCACTGCGCTAAGCTGGGGTGCATCCATGATTTCTTTCATTCGCTGCTCGGCATCATACATGGCATTTACAAGTGGTGGTTGTCGATACGACTGTTTTTGTATAAACTTTTCAATCTCGCCGGGAAGTATGTTGGTCTTGAGTCGTTTCTGATCATCTGTTGTTGGCTTTAAATCCAACACCAAATACCCGTGAGGTCGGTTCGTAGCATCTTCATAACTTTTCATAAATTCTTGTACTTTTCCAGGATTTATTTGCCTTGCAAGCATAGAAATTTGTTGTTTATCTCTTGGTGACTTGAACAACACGATATAATGGGCGTTTAGGCTGATATTTCTCATTTATTTGCCTTGATGAAATATATTTTGAACAATATAGATGATAGATAAATTCCGATGATGACTTCCTTTCGTAAAAAGATCAGAAATACGTTTATCTTTGCCAGATAGAGCCATAAGGTCGTCCAATACGATCAAATTCCGTTGCGATACGTCCAAGTAATCTGCGTTGTCGATGTCTTCGGGGATGCCTTGATTAAACTCGATTCCAGGCATCGTTCTCATCATATCAAAATAGGAGGGTTGCCATTGACCATAACACCAAATGATACGTTGAGGAGCAGGACTTATAGTTTTCTGTGCATTCTCCAAGAGAGATTTTACCCACACAGTCTTGCCGCTTTGGGTACACCCAGCTACGATACATGTGAAAGGATGCTGCAAAACTGTAGATCCTGCTGAGATTTCAACTGGTTTGCTTTGAACATCTCCATGGGTATTCAAAGTATGACGCTTGAGGTTGCCGCGTGTTGAAAATACTTTGGCACATATATTGCACGGAAAGGACATGTTCACACCACGAACGTCTAGCTGGAAGTGATAATAAGTTGGCGTATTCGTTCTATATATTCATTAATGCATCTATCCAGTATTATTCTGTATCTTTATCTTCCTTATCTTTATCCTTATCTTTATCTTTATATTCTTTATCTTTATCTTCCTTATCTTTATCCTTATCTTTATCTTCCTTATCTTTATCTTCTTTATCCTTATCTTTGTCTTCTTTATCTTTATTCTTTATCCTTATCTTTATCTTCCTTATCTTTATCCTTATCTTTATCTCCTTATCTTTATCATCTTTATCATCTTTATCCTCTTTATCCTTATCTTTATCTTCCTTATCTTTATCTTCTTTATCTTTATTCTTATCATTATCTTCCTTATCCTTATCTTTATCCTCTTATCTTTATCTTCCTTATCTTTATCTTAATCTTTATCCTTATCCTTATCTTTATCCTTATCTTTATCTTCCTCATCTTTATCTTTATCTTCTTATCTTATCTTTATCCTTATCTTTATCATCCTTATCTTTGTCTTCTTTATCTTTATCCTTATCCTTATCTTTATCCTTATCTTTATCTTCCTTATCTTTATCTTAATCTTTATCTTAATCTTTATCCTTATCTTTATCTTCCGTATCTTTATCCTTATCCTTATCTTTATCCTTATCTTTATCTTCCTCATCTTTATCTTTATCTTCTTATCTTATCTTATCTTTATCCTTATCTTTATCAGCCTTATCTTTATCTTCCTTATCTTTATCCTTATCTTAATCTTCCTTATCTTTATCCTTATCTTTATCTTCCTTATCTTTATCTTTATCTTAATCTTTATGTTCCTTATCCTTATCTTCCTTATCTTTATCTTTATCCTCTTATCTTTATCCTTATCCTTATCTTTATCCTTATCTTTATCTTCCTTATCTTTATCCTTATCTTAATCTTTATGTTCCTTATCTTTATGTTCCTTATCTTTATCTTCCTTATCTTTATCTTTATCCTCTTATCTTTATCCTTATCCTTATCTTTATCCTTATCTTCCTTATCTTTATCCTTATCTTCCTTATCTTTATCCTTATCTCAATCTTTATGTTCCTTATCCTTATCTTTATCTTTATCCTTATCTTTATCTTCTTATCTTTATCCTTATCTTTATCTTCTTATCTTTATCCTTATCTTTATCGTCTTTATCCTTATCTTTATCTTCTTTATCTTTATCCTTATCTTTATCTTCTTATCTTTATCTTCTTATCTTCCTTATCCTTATCTTCCTTATATTTATCCTCTTATCTTTATCCTTATCTTCCTTATATTTATCCTCTTATCTTCCTTATCTGACATGCACAAGGAGCCAAGTTCGATAAGCTCAGAATCGAACTCTCGATAACTCGGAGCCAATAAGGAAGCTTATATCTTCCGATATAAGCTTCCTTATTGTTGTGTTTTACTCATTTGCTTCCAAACCGTCGAACAGAAATGATCAATCTTCTAAGGCACAAGCCATATCTTGAATTGTTGGGCACGTCCGAGCCTGATCAACAACAAGCACTCCTGGAAACAGCAAGCGCCGAACAAGTACACTGCCTGTGTCTCTGTGTAGAAAACGTTATGAAAAGAAAATATTTAATGCCGAAGCATGTGATGAAGAAACTCCGACCTTACAAAAATGAAATGCTTAGGTTAGCAGATAGAGGAAAATGTGGAAGAAGAAAAAACGGATACTCGTTCAACGTGGTGAAGGTTTCCTTGGACTATTACTAAGTCCTATTTTGGAAAGCCTAGCTGAACTTGTATAAAAGCCCTGTGATTACAATTTATACATCATTTCAACAATGAACATCGAGAGTAAAACATCTCCGCGACATTGGCGCATTGAAGATATACTTTTGTATCTGAACAATAATGTCAAAAAAACTACAGCAGAAAAAATGCTACATTCTATTCTTATATCAAGCGATATTTTAACTTGGAATCCTCAGGGTGAGATTGTTTATCATGGAAGAGACATTCCTGGTACTAACATCGAGAACTTTTTACAATACGCACTTTTACCATACAACTCTCACATTCCTGAACCACGAGGGCTCGACCTGTTTACAAAAGGTCTAGTAGAAGCAGGGGTTAATAAAGATTTGATTAAAAACGAGTATTTATTGTCAAAAATGGAAAAGGAGGAACATGAAATGCCACAATCTGAGAGTGATGTTGAAAGCGAATCTGGTGAAGAGATTCCCATCTGACAAGAGTGTAATGAAAGCGAATATGATGATAATGAGGATGATGATAATGAGGATGATGGTGAGCCCGAGAAACTAGCTTGTAGCCATTATGGAGAAGAAACTGGTCACATTGTATACTTTACGAAGTGCCCAAGATGTTCGTGGAAAGATTTCTACTGGGGCAAAGACGCTCAATGTATGATATGTGATGAACAGTCACCTCTATTGTTTTCACATGTCATTGGTTTCTGCGAGCTATGTTCGTATGGTACGTCTAACAGCAAGGCGAGCGGATTGGAGTTCACACCAAAAATGAACAAATAAAAGACCCAGCAGATTGGACCGAACGTGACGTAGCGCGAATGACTCCGGAAGCAAGAGAGGATTATGAACGTTTAATATTGAGGGATAGACCGAAATATATTCCAATGAAGCCGGAAAACTTGCAAAGTTATCCCCAGAAGATAGACAAGAATATGAGAACTCTTTAAAAATAACAAAAACACCTAGACGTTACGCTCTTAGAAGTAGACCGTACTAAATTTTGTATAACGTTCTGAAGAAATAAATGTGTTTAAAAACTGAAATATTGTGTAATTTCTTGCCGGCAAAGCCCGCTCTTTCCGCCCGCGCGAAAAGATCCGTGTACAAATATGTTGTACTTTAATATATGCATGTACCCGCAAAGCCACGCGCCTGATTTTAAGGTATACACCTCCGTTAAAAAATAATCCCTATCTATCCATCGGCATACACTTAGTTATGCAAATTCGTATTACCTTAATCCCCTTAATTACCTACACGCCTCCTAATGACTTAGCAACGCATAACAACGCAACATTTGCAAAGTATAAAACATGTTTATTGATACAAATAACAGACAGAGTGTTCTAAACTGTTCTAATTCTAACTTCTACTCTTGATAAGTTTTCTTATGATCATCTTAACAGTATGTAGGAGGATTGCTAAATAATCTTGAACAACATGCAAATATTGACCATAACAACGACGTTGACAACTCGGGATTAGGAACTGTTTAGTTTAAAATATGTCTTGATTTTTGTGACGAATAGATTCCTCGCTATGGAACATACGAAAAATCCTTCAATATCCCTGTGGAAATTTATCTCTTCCGAGCAAAGATACGGCTATAACTCTGCTATATATTAATTTCGATAACAATTTTGCCATGCGAGGGACACAAACTATTCAACACACAAAGTCTTTCAACCCCTTGTGCGACTGCACTCGCAAAAATTCCTTCCAATAAATTGTAAGATGTGGTTTTACCGTGTAGACACGCCATGACTGATGTGGAACAAATATAGACGATGTTTG